TTTTTTCTGAAGAAGGGTCTAGGCCCAAAACGTCAGCTTTCCTGCTCCTCTGATGCTGCTTGGTCTGCTGTGTTCATCCAGCTCTACACTTTGTTAACTTAAATATGTTAAACATCTGCAGTTCCTACTGTCCCTTAACATATCCCTTAACATCCCTTAGCACTTGGAGATAGCAAGAATTGCAGATGCTGGAGTCAGATTCTAACACAGTGTGGAGCTGAAGGAACACAACAGGTCAGGCACCATCAGAGAAGTAGGAAATTTGACATGTTAGGCTGGACCCTTGTTCAGAACTGGGGAGAGTGAAGGGAGCTGGGAAATAAATAGAGGGAGGGGGTGGGTGGGGCTGGGGGAAAGTATGTGGGATGGTGATAGATGGATGCAGGTAGGGGATCGTGGAGATTGGTAAGGGTAGGACGGATAGGTGGGGAAGAAGATGAGGAAGAAGATGGGCAGGTTGTGTCAGGTCAAGGACGTGGGGATGAGAGGGAGGTTTGGACATGGGATGAGGCCGGGTTTGGAGATTTTAAAACTGGTGAATTCGATGTTCAGGCCATCAGGCTGCAGGCTCCTGAGATGAAATATGAGGTGTTGCTGCTCCCGTTTGCGTGTAGCGTCATTGTGGCATTGAAGGAGGCCCAGGATGGACATGTCATCAAGGGAGTTGGAGAGGGAGTTAAAATGGTTTGCAAACAGAAGGTGTTGTCAATTATCGCGTACAGGGCACAGATGCTCCACGAAATGGTCCCCGAGTCTACACTTGGTCTCACCGATGTAGAGGAGACCAGGTTGGAGGATGTACAGGTGAACCCCTGTCAGATATAAAACATTTGCATTGGGCCTTGGATGGAGGTGAGGGGGGCAGTGTAGGGGTGGGTGTAGCACTTCCTGCAGTTGCAGGGAAAGGTGCCGGGGTGGTGGGGTTAGTGGGGAGTGTGGAGTGGACAAGGGATTCGTGGAGTGAGTGGTCCCTACGAAAGGCAGAGAGGGATGGGGAGGGAAATATCTCTTTGGTTGTGGGATCGGATTGTAGGTGCTAATGTGATTGAGTTTCTTGATGATGGTAACGCAGTGTATGTGATTTATATGAATTTCCAAAAAAAATCAAATCAGTCATCAAGAAGCTTGTTCATAAAACTGAAAACCTCAGAAATAAGGTCAAGGGCAACACGGATACCAAGTTGGCTAAACGATAGAAAAATCAAAATGCAGCCCTGGAGAAAATTTAAGGTTGGCAATTTCTTTCCAAGAAGAGCACACGAACAAGAAAAGTTATTTTGACTTGAGGGTCCAGCAGTGCTTGCTATCTTCCACATCTGATACTTCATAGGGTACTACTAAATTTTACAGCTGGGCCACAGTTCCCAATCCTCATTAGCATGGCCTCTGAGGCCTGGACAGCCTCTTGCAGTTCCATCAGACTGACGGTGTGCATCTGGTGTACTGGTACTTTTGTTCCAACTTTACTTGTTTTGCTCCTTCTCCTCCACCACCACCACCACCCCACAACCCCCTCCCCAAATGGGAGAGAGGTAACCCAGTTGGCCTATTTCTGTTTTTCCTTTCCTCTCCAAATGGCCTTATTTCTCTGTTGAATGGAAAACCTGGCACACCTGGCCGGCCATGTGGATGATAGTTGGAGGTAGGCAGCAATCAGCTCCTGTTTGTTTGCTACCTGCAAAACTAAAAAAAACTCCATAAAACTGCCTCAGTTATGTTGTCACTGTGTCAATGCCTGAAGTCCTTTAACCATGCCAGCTGCCATTGGAAAAATGTGGTAATGATGGGTGGAACTTCCACACCTTGGTGTGGCAATGTTGAGAAAGATGAAAAAATACAAGAATGAAAATAATCTCGACATCAAGAAAATGATTTATATTATTCCCTTAAGCCTTAAATGGTGACTTCAGAATTGGCCATTGATTGGCCTTGCCTTATTTACATACCATCCCAACTCTCTTCTTCACTGTGAATCTAGATGGCACAAATTCCTGGTGTGAATTAGTGCAGGTAGCTGACAGCTGGAGCTCACTTAACACCTATCCTGCCATTATCCAACTGATTCTTCACAACAATGTCCCTGTTTGCTCAACGATCACCATCATCCTCAACTCTTTGTCCCTGCATGTCAGCAGTAACAAACCACCAGCCTTACCGCATTGCCATGGTTGCTTTCTGTCCAACTCTCACACCACTTCAGCCCATACAATGGCAAACACAGCCCTGTGAGCCTGAAAAGTCCTGATTTACTAATGTCTGGGGGCTAGTGCCAAAATTGGGAGAGCTGTTTCATTGACTACTCAAGCAACAGCCTGACACAGTCATTCTCATGGTATCATATCATACACACAATGTCCTCAAACACCATCACCATCCCTCGGTATGTCCTACATCTTATCCCCACTTCGGCTGATGAATTAGCATTCCTCCATGTTGAAAATCACTTGGATAAAACACTGCAAGGATGCAGAATATACTCTTGGTGCGGTACTTCAATGTAACTCAGAAGCACCACTTCCTACCAAGCTGGTCGAGTTCTAAAGGACATAACTGTTAGACTAGGTCTGAGTCAGGTGGTGAAGGCACCATCACAAGTTAAAAATATACTTGACTTCATTCTCACCAATCTGCCTGCCATAGAGGCATCTGTCCATGGTACTAATAGACAGACTTCGAACAGATCTAGCAATTCAAGGTTGGGTATCCTAAGAGGCACTGTGGATCATCAGCAGCACATGAATTGAACGCAAACCCCCTCCCCCACAGTCCCACAGCACCTTCCCCTACAATATCCGAAAGTGTAACACCTGCCCACTTACCTCCTCCCTCCTCAGTATCAGGGGCCCAAAAATATCTTCCAGGTGAAGCAACACTTTACTTGCACTTTACCTCACAATGTAGTCTACTGCATTCGCTATTCACAATGTGGTCTCCTCTACATGGGGGAAATGAAGCACAGACTGAGTGACCACTTCGCTGTATATCTATGTTCTGCCCTCAAAAAAGATCCTGAGTTTCCTGTTGCCTGCCACTTTAACATACCATACTGTTTCCTGGCCAACATCTCTGTCTCAGGCCTGCTGCAGTTCTCCAGTGACAGACAGAGATGTGATTCCACAAGGAACAGATCAGACCTAAGCTGTGCACTCCTGCCACATCTAGTCTTGAATGGTGGTGGACAATTAACTCATTGGAGGAGCAGACTCCACAATAACCCCTTTCCTCAACAATTGGGGAACCCAGCACATCAGTGAGAAGATAAAACTAAAGCTTTTGCAAAAACCTGCAGCCACTACTGCCAAGGGAATGTTTGATCTTGGCCTTCTCCAGAGGTCCCCAGCATTACAGTCTTCAGCTAATTTGATTTGTTTCATGTAATATCAAGAGTCAACTGGATACACCGAATACTACAATGGCTGTGGGCTCTGACAATTTTCTAGCAATAGTACTGAAAACTCCAGAACTTCTTGTGTCCGAATTAAGCTGTTCCAGTACAGACACCACACAGACATCTACCCATCAATGTAGAAAATTGAAACAAAAACAGAAATTGCTGGAGAAACTCAGAGTTCTAATGAAGTCACACGACTTAAAACATTAACTCTGCTTTCTTCCCACAGATGTTGCCAGACCTGCCCGAGTTTTTCAAGAAATTCCTGTTTTTGTTTCAAAACTCCAGCATCCACAGTTCTTTGTTTTATTTTAATGTAGAAATTGACCAGGTATGTCCCGTACACAAAAAACAAGAGAAACCAACTCAGCCAACTACCACCCATCAGTCTAAACTCAATCATCATAAAGGGATGGAAAATGTCATCAACAGTGCTATCAAGCAATAACCTCCCCCCTGATGCACTGTTTAGGTTCTGCGAAGGTCACTTAGCTCCTGAGCTCATGCTAACCTTAGTTCAAACGTGGACAAAAGAGCTGAATTCTAGAGGTGAGAGCGACTGTCCTTGACATCAAAGCTGCATTTGTCTGGGTGTGGGATCAAGGACCCCTGGTAAAGCTAAAGTACAATTTAGTCAGGGGGAAACTCACTGCTGATTGAAGTCACATCTGGCACAATGGAAGATAGCTGAGGTTGTTGAAGGCCAATCAGCACAGCTCCAAGACATTTCTGCAGAAGTTCCAGAGTACTGTCCTTAACTTAACCATCTTCAGCTGCTTCATCAGTGACCTTCCGCCAATCATAAGGTAACAAACGGGTGATTAATAACTGCACAATGTTCAGCACCATTTGTAACTCCTCAGATACTAAAACAGTACATGACCAAATGCAGCAAGACCCAGACAATATCGAGATATGCACTGACAAGTATCAAGTCACGTTCACGCCACACAAGTGCCTGGCAATATCCAACAAGGTAGAATATGACGATCGTCCCATGACTTTCAATGGCATTGCCATCACCAAATTCCCACTATCAAGATCCTCAGGGTTACCATTAAATAGAAACTGAACTGGATTTACTGGATAAATACTGTGGCTAGAAGAGCAGGTCAAAAGCTAAGAGTCCTGCAACAAGTGACTCATCTCCTGAATCCCTAAAGCCTGTCCACCATCTATAAATCACAAATCAGGAATATGATGGAATACCTGCCACTTGTTTGGTGAGTGCAGTTCCAATAACACAAAGAAGCTTGACACCACCCAGGACAAAGCAGTCTTCTTGACTGGCACCACTCTACGAATATTTACTCTTTCACTGCCAACACTCACGAGCAGGAGTTTATACCATCTACAAGATGTACTGCAGAAATTTCTCAAGACTCCTTAGACCGCAGCTTCTAAATCCATGACAAACAACATCTATAAAAAAGAAGCACAGTAGATTCACGACAAGACCACCAGCTGCAAGTTCCCCTCTAAGTCACTCACCATCCTGACTTGGAAAAATATTGCCATTCCTTCAGTGTTGCTATGTCAAAATCCTGGAGCTTCCTTCCTAACAACATTGAGTCTATAGCAAATGGACCACAGCAATACATGAAGGCAGCTCATCACCACCATGTCAAGGGCAACTAGGGATGGAAAATAAATGCTGGCCCAGCCAGTGATGCCCATAACCCATGAATGAAAAAAAATCTGCATGAGGTATATCATAGCTTTTTGCATGCTACCTTAGGACTCATTCACTTTACACTTACTTGGATGCTGCAACCCTCCTAGTAGCTTGCATAGCTTTTTAGTGAACATAATCTTCATTGCTCAGTTACAGTATGCCAGTCTTTGTGGCTTTCACTGCTTTTTAAAGCAGAGGGAGAAGCATGCAGCTTGTCATGATAGGGAGCAGTGAACTCACAAGGGGGTGAACATGTAACTCTGTAGCACTGTGCTCAGACAAATTCACACCTCAGCTTATTCCAGCAGTTTACAGGGGCAAACACAGTGCATATGTTTCAAGCAAATGGCCACGTGTGAAATTCAAAGGTAACCAGTCCTTAGTTGAGGAATGGGGAACTATGATCAGTCAGAAGGTACCACTGTAGTGAGTCAAATTAACAGCAGGGGATTGGCCAAAGTTAGTCAGGCACCTGGCCCTATATCAGCCCAGTGATACGCATCCTTGCTGCCCAGAGGATGTGCCACAGTTAATCTTGCAGCACAAATACAGGGACAACTGGTAGGTCAATAGAAGTGCTGCACAGAGAACAGTCAGTGAGTTGAACTCTAATCAGTTGGGGCTGATCTACCAAGTCAGTCTTAAGAATTTCCTCAATAACAGTGAGAGGGCAGGTGATGGCGTTCAGGGGAAAACGAACAACTCAAATCTGAGGATGGGCTTCACTACACTGGGTCACTGAGGGACTGGTGACAGTAGGAGGCAGTAATTATAGATTGTAAAGCTGGGTCTCACAGTGAATAGGAGGAGACTGGGACCTCCAGAAGGTGAGTGGGTGTGGGGTTTCCCCACAGAGGTCACAGCAACTCTGACTGCTGAATGGACAGGGTGCAGGACCAACAAGAACATGGGAATTTCCAAAATCATGGACTCTTGTGGGTAAAGTAAGTACATCAATGTGGTGAGGCTATGGCATAATGTTATTGTCACTGGACTAGTAACCCAAAGATCCAGGCAATGCTTTGGAATGACAGGTTCAAATCCCACCACAGCAGATAGTACAATCGGAGTTTAAAACTAAATCTGGTGATCACCATGAAAAAGGTCACAACTGAAATAAAAACCCATCTGATTGAATATGCCTTTTAGAGAAGGAAATCTGCTGTACTTATCTGGACTGGCTGACATGTGACTCCACACCCACAGCAATGTGGTTAACTCATATCTGCCCTCTGAAATAGTAAGTTGCTCGTTGCACTCAGCACATCCACAAAGGCTACGTACAGGCCCTGACCACATTCTGACAACAGTAGAGAAAACCTGTGCTCCAAAATTTTTTGTGCCCCTGGCTAAGCTGTTCCAGTACAGCCGTGACAATGGCATCTACCTTACAATATAGAAGGTTATGCTGTTATGTCCCGTACACAAAAAAATCAAATCTAACCCAATTACCATGCCATCAGTCTATTCTGAATTGTCAGTAAAGTGATGGAAGATGTTATCAACAGTACAATCAAGCAGCACTTGCTTTGCAACAATTTGCTCATTGTCACTTGAATTTAGGTTCTGCCAAGGCCATTTACCTCTTCACCTCATAACAGCCTTGGTTCAAACATGGATAAAAGAGCTGATTCCAGAGATGTACTGTGAGTGACTGCCCTTGACACCAAGGCTGCATTTGATTGAGTACAGCATCAAGGACCCCAAGCAAAACTGGAGTCAATGGCAATCAGTGGGAAAACTCTCCAGTGAACTGAGCCATACCTGGCACCAAGGAAGATGTTTGCAGTTGTGCCTGGGACATCTTTTCAGGAGTTCCTCAGTGTAGTATCTTAGGTCCAATCATCTTCATCTACTTCAGCAATGATCTTTCCTCCATCATCTATGTGGCAATGTGGAAAACTGCCCCATCATGCCTGCAACCCGTTTAATGGGCAGCACACCTACAGACATTAACTCCCTCCGTCACCAACACATAGCAGCAGCAGTGTACATTTTCTACAAGACTCATTGCAGGAATTCACAAAAGCCCTGAGATAGCACCTTCCAAAACCATGACCACTTCTATCTGTAAGAACAAAGGGGCAGATAATATGGGCACACCATCACGTGCAAGTTCCTCTCCAAGCCACTCACCATCCCAACTTGGAAATATTCAATGTTCCTTCTATGTTGCTTAGTCAAAATCCTGAAACTGGCCCTCTAATTTTTTTTTCGAAAGTACCTACACTTAATGGACTGCAATGGTTCAAAAGGTAGTTCACATCACGTTCTCAAGGTTATCTAGGGATGAGCAATAGGGGCTGGCCTATCCAACAAAACCCACATCCCATGAATGAATAGAACAAATTTATATGAAGGGACTCAAAAGAAACAGGGGTGGGGTTACACAGAGGTAATCCGGGTGACAAGACAGCAGCATAGAAGGAAACATTAAAGGGGGAACACCCTTAGTGACACCCACATCTGATGAAAGAATTTTAAAAACAGAAATAAACTCCAATGTTTCTGAAGTTCATTCTATCATCAATACTCACTGTTTTCTTTTCCTCTGTAAATTGGTAGGGCTGAAATAAGCACAGAGAAGATTCCATATATCCAAAAAACGCGCTGATGATCTGTGAATTAAATTTTAAAATTAATATAGGTACATGGGGAGTATATACAGAACCTGATGCCCATCCTAATCTGGACAATTCACTTGCTATTTTAACTTGATGCTGGGATAAAACAGAATGTCTGTGAATTTGACTGCTCACTTTCTCCATCCTAGCATAAAGACTATGCCCTGATATCAATGAAACTAAAATATTTGAGCCACTGCTCTCAGAACACTTACCACACAGAAACAGGAATATAAAATTTACCAATTATGATTCAGAACAAGGGATGCAGAATATAATAACTGGGAACACATCTGTGAAATGCCCCATTCGGTCAGTCAGCCTATCATCACTCATTGCCCAGAAACACATGGAGTGAAATACATAGTTTCAATGAGAATGTTGCTATAATAGTCACCCAACATGGAAATAATCAAACAGAGGTAGTCACTGATGCAGTATTTGCAGGAACATGCACAGCTACAAGAATATCTACAAACATGGCCCCATAACAGGGACACCTCCAGATCAGGTTCTACATTCTAGTCAGGCAAATCAGAGCAGGACTAATACAATTAATGGTAAGTCCTGGGGAGTGTTGCTGACCAAACAGACCTTGGACTGCAGGTTCACAGTTGCAAGTAAACAAGGTTCTGAAGAAGGCTTTTGGTACACTTGTCTTTATTGGTCAGTTCATTGGGTATACGAGTTGGGAGGTCATGTTGCAGCTGTACAGGACATTGGTTAAGCCATTTTTGGAATGGTGCATTCAGTTCTGGTCTCCCTGCCATAGGAAATATGTTGTGAAACTTGAAAGGGTTCAAAAAAGATTTACAAGAATGTTGCCAAGGTTGGAGGGTTTGAGCTATAGGAAAAGGCTTGATAGGCTGGGACTATTTTCCCTGGAGTGTCAGAGGCTGAGGAATGACCTTAAAGAAGTTTATAAAATTAAGAGGGGCATGGATAGGGTGAACAGACAAGATCTTTTCCCTAGGGTAGGAAAGTCCAAAACTAGAGGGCATATGTTTAAAGGTGAAAGGGGAAAGATTTAAAAGGGATCTAAGGGCCAACTTTTTCACACAGAGGGTGGTACGTGTATGGAATGAGCTATCAGAAGAAGTGTTGGAGACTGGTACAATTGCAACATTTAAAAGGCTTTTGGATGGGTATACGCACAGGAAGGGTTGAGAGAGATGTGGGCCAAATGCTGGCAAATGGGACTAGATTATTTTGGGATATCTGGTCAGCATGGACGAGTTGGACTGGAGGGTCTGTTTCTGTGTGGTACAACTCTATGAAGACCTTTATTCATCACTTGTAGGCTTTGGAAGGCTGAATAAAAAGATGGATGACTGGAAAATATGGATTATCTACAGCAGCATTCCAAAGACTTGGAGGATATCAGGTACAGCTTTAGAGATCTCAATTTGATTTCATTTTCTGCCTTACTTTCCCACAGTTCAGCAGTCACCCTACTTCTGTTCTCACCCTACTTTCAATGGGATTGTAAGAGAATCCTCCATCACTGAGACGGTGCAGGACATTTTATTGGGGGGGAGGCAGAGGGGTGAAGAGAAAAAGAAACAGGTCTGCAGTCATGGTAAATGTATGAATCAATAATTCAAGACAGAGAGCTGAAATTCTGCAGGCAAGTTTCAGGAGCTAGGTAGGAAATCTGACTGGGAGCCTCAAAGATCATAACTTTTTTACTATGCCCAATGTCAGGCACTAGTAAGTACAGACGGGATAAAAGTTAACAAGGAAAAATGTCACAGGGTCTAATTCTCAGGCAAAGCAGACCCATTAAAAGTAGACAGGTAGAACCTTTACAGTGCTGGTTGTAAGATCTTTGGAAGAAAGCTAAAAACTATCAAGGAAAAATATTCAATAATCTAGCAGCAAAATGGACACCATGAAGAATCATGAAAGAGGAGAAACATGGTGCTCAGAGGACTAGATTAAACAAACAGCACTGAAGTGAAGAACAGTTCAAAATTCGAATGAATAACAGGAGAGGCCAATACAAGGCAGTTTAAGTTTGAAGTGCATATGTGGAAATGCCTGTAGCGTGGTTAGTAAGGTTAGTGACTTGCAAGCATATAAATTACTATTTGTGACTATGATATAGTGCCAATAGCAAATCTAGCTTACATAGATGGAGTGGGAACTATGCATTCACTGCTACATGGTGTTAAATGAAGACAGGGACAGAAAATAAAGCAGGTGGGTGGCAGTATTAATTAAAATACCATTAAAATATCAGAGGAATGATGTACGTCAATAATCAAAGATACAGTCTATACGACTGAAGTTAAGGAATAATAGTAGAACTATTACACTTCTGACTGTATAGTATAGGTCACAAAATATCAGGAAGAGAAGAATAAAGACTGTCAAATTCCATAATCTTATCAGAACATAGGGAGGTTGAGAGGGAGAATCCTTCATGGTAACCTCAACCGGTGTGGAAATTGAACCTATGCTGTTGTTGTCACTCTGCATTGCAAACTAGCTGTCCAGCCGACTGAAGTAAACCAAACCACTACTCCCCAATCCCCCTCCCATAGAAAACAGCAAGAATATAGAGTAGTGATAATGGGAGATCTAAATTTGCCTAATATAGACTAAAATACTGCTACAGGATAAAGGGAAAAGAGAAACAGGAATTTCTGAACTCTGTACAATAGAACTTTCTTGATCAATGTGCTGTCAAAGTGGGGAAAGAAGCAGCGATTAATTTAGTTCTCAGGAATGAAGGAGCATGTTTTAGTGGGGGAGCGTTTGTAGAAACGTGATCATATTATCATCAGATTTACAACAACCAGAGAATGACAAGGTACAATCAAGCCTATGAGCACTTAACTAGAGGACGATTACCTTCAGTGAACTGGAAAATGTTCTTGCCCAAATATACCTGGCTAAAAGTTTCGCTAACTGAACAGTTATTGGGCACTGGGTGGGGGGTTTCTAAAGCCCATGAATAGTGAGGGAGGCTGAAGTGCTGTATAGCCTACTCCTATTTCTTAGGTTTTGGGTTGATATTACAGAAGAAACCTGAATATATAAAGTACAGGAGGAAATTTAAAAATTGGGAATAACAGCAGAGACGGCATGAGATGACTTGCAGCAAACGTAAAAGGAATGAAACAGTCCTTGTTCTTGATATAGTTTGAAGCTTGGCCAATAGGAGTATGTGTGGCTGAAAGTCCAGCACCTTATGTTTAAAGAGCTGATTGGAAAATGAAGCAATGTGATCTAGCTGTATACAATGCTCTTAAAGTACTGACAGGCCTGACTCAGGATCCAGCTGATAAACCTGGCTGCTAGCAAATCTCTTTTCCTTTCCTCTGACTTACATCAGTTATATGACTGAAATCAACTTGACATTTCCTATTTCAACCTGTGTTGACTTTCCCTGTAAAATGAAACTGTACTTGGATTTTATTCCATGTGTTGAGAAATTGAGAGAATTAAGAGACTTCTGGCTCTGCAAACCCTCCTTCTAAACATGTCTGCCTGACTAACAGATTTTCATTCATGGGTAGTAGGTTCACTGTGAATCAGGCCAGTCAACATGAGACTAAGGACAGATGATGCAGAGTTCAGAGGAGTATGGGCAGATGTTAATATATTGAATTTTAATACATGCCTCACCTCTCACACAATTCCCTATGCCATCTATTTCAAACTTTACCTACTCACATTCCCACCTATCCTCATACCACCTCATACCCTCCATGCCAATTCTGTATTCAGCTCCTATTTTCCTTTATAGGCTCGATGCCAATTTATGTCAAGTCTTGCAACCCAGGCCCTTAGACACCACATTTTTCCTTTGTACCTGCCATACCAACTCACCCAGTTTCCACCATGGCAGATCTGAGTGCAGGCAGTGATGAACTAAAATAAAGTTTGGAGTTTTTTTTCATAATTCACAATATTGAAGAACACTCATTCACAGAAACCCACATAATACATCAATTTTCCTCCACTAACTTAATACCTGATAACAATAAACATTTCTTGCATGTGCATAATCCTTTATAACTACAAGCAGGGAAATTTATAGTTCCGTTTCAAGTAGTCGTTAGCCTCTGAGTGCTCAAATGGTGAAATAGCTAGTGCCCAACTGTGATAATGGATTGTTACGAAATTAGTAGCATAGAATTAATCTGGTAGCAGAAGCTTGCAGGGATATGTCAGTTGCACAGAACTAATCTAGTAATGGAATCTTTCAGATATATGTCCTTTTGATAGGTCTGTTAACAGTACCACTAAGTTTGACATTTAATGCATTTGTGTACAGTTACAGTATTTCATACCAACTTTTAATAATTCAAAAGGGCACCTTATCTCTCCCAAAGAATTTGTTTTATTCACTCGTGGGATGTGGGCATTGCTGGCCAGGCCACCAATTATTGCCCATCACTAGTTACCCTTGAGAAGGTAGTGGTGAGCTTCCTTCTTGAACTGCTGCAATCCATTGCTGTCCGTAGGCCCATCAGGAAGGGCCAGGTGGTCCATGTGATTTCATCCCTATTTTTTCCTTTTACACAGTCAATACAAATAAAGGCCCCTTCATAGAAAAGTTATGAGACAACTACACTGCTGGATTTGGAGTCACACATCAGCAGCACCAGGTAGGGATGGCAGTTTCCTTCCCCACAGGACTTTAATGAACCCATATGGATTTTACAACAAAACTACTGGTTCCACTGAACTTTTAATTCCATTTTTTAAATTGAATTAATTTTCCACCATCTGCCATGGTGGGATTCGAAATCAGGACCTCAATCACTAGTTACAGTCCTTATTGTTCACCTCTATTTTTGAAACTGTGTACCCTGTTTCTAGACTCCCCACCAAGGAAAACATCCTACTGCATCCACTCAGTCAATCCCTTCCAGTATTTCACAGGTTTCAAGTGAGATCACTTCTCATTACTTCAAAAGTGTAGAAAATGCAGACCCAGTTTCCCCAATCTCTTTTCAGTCTCACCATTCAGTAACAAACTAGATAAACATCTCTATGGCATCTTTTCCATGGTAAGGGACCAAATCCATACACACTACTCCAGGTGCAGGCTAACCAAGGTTCTATTAAGTGGATCAAAAACAGAAATTACTGGAAAAACTCAGCAGGTCTGGCAGCATCTGTGCAAAGAATTCAGAGTTAATGTTTCAGGTCTGGTGACCCAAAACATTAACTCTGATTTCTCTTCACAGATGTTGCCAGATCTGCTGAGCTTTTCCAGCAATTTCTGTTTTTGTTTCTGATTTACAGGACCTGCAATTCTTTCGGTTTCTATTCAGTGGAAACATGACTTCACTACTCGTGATCAAAACCTCTTGCATTAATGACAAACATACCATTAGCTTTCCTAATTACTTGTTGCACCTGCCTGTTAGTCTTCAGTGACCTACTGACAAGGACACTTGAGTTCCTTTGTACATCAGCAACTTCTAATTTCTTAACATTTAAAAAATATTCGACACTTCTGTTCCTCCTACCAGATGGAGGACCTCAACTTTATAATATTCGTATTTCATTTGCCATGTTCTTGCCCGCTTACTAATTCTGAGCAAATCTGTTTGCTATTGCATGGTACCTTCCTCAAAACACACATTCTCACCTAGCTTTACAACATTTATAAACCTAGAAATATTACATCTGGTCACCACATCCAAATCATTGAGATATACTGTGAATAGTTGTGGTGCAAGTACTAATTCTTGCAGTACTCCACTAGTCACAGTCTGCTAATGTGAAATGATCTATTTATTTATATTCACTGTTTTCTATATGTTAGCCAGTCCTTAATCTATGTCAGTATATTTAGGAATGGTCAATTTCACTTCTAATCTCAACAGAATTTCACGAACAGGATATTCAGGCATTACATCTGAGTTGATCAGAGAGAGAGAGAGACAGGGAGAATATCAGGAAGAAAAACCTACAAATGAAATATTGTCATTTAAACTCACCCTTTTTTACCAAAAAGGAACGTTTCAATAGATTTTCAGGTTGCAGATACAAGTAGACAATATAAACGATTGTTCCTGAGATGAGGAAAAATCCAACACCTTCAATAATTCTGTATGATTTGGGATAAACTGGTAAAGAAAACGGAGTGTGTGAAATTAAGAGTATATCGAGTGGACTTACAACAGGATATTAATTATTAATCTTCATGATTAACTTCAAGTCCCGACTTATTTCAGAGTCAGATGTTTGTGAGTTCAAGACCCAGCCTGGGATCTGAACATATAATTGAGGATGACTCTTCAATGGGATATTCCATTTTCAGGGAAGGTATTAAGTAGAGGTTCCATCTGCCTCTTTCAATCAACTTAGATTATCCAACGCATCTAACTATGTAATAATATGACTATGTGTCTTCAAACGAAAACTTATCACAGAATAACATTTGCAACTTTCAACTGTTACCATTGAGGCCTACATGACATTTTTAAATGCCAATCAATATCAAATTCTACATTAATGGATAAATACATTGTGATGTTATTTACATAATTTGTTATTTACATTAATAAAATGAATTTAGAAGGTATGATTAGTAAGTTTGCAGATTATACAAAATTAGGAGGTATCGTTGCTAGCGAGGAAGGTTATCAAAAATTCCAGAGGGATCTTAATCAGATGGGGAAGTAGGCTGAGGATTGGCAAATGCAATTCAATACAGATAAGTGTGAGATGTTGCACTTTGCAAAGTCAAACCAAGGTAGGACTTATACAGTAAATGGTAAGGTCCTGAGGAGTGTTGTGGAACAGAGGGACCTGGGAGTACAATTACATAGTTCTTGAAAGTCAAGTCACAGGTAAATAGGATGACGAAGAAGGCATTTAGCGTGCTGGCCTTCATCAATCAAAGCATCGAGTATAGGAGTTGGGACATTATGTCACAGTTGTATAAGTCGTTGGTGAGGCTGCACTTGGAGTATTATGTACAGTTTTGGTCACTCTGTTATAGGAAAGACATAGTTAAACTGGAAAGTGTGCAAAGAAGATTTACGAGGATGTTGCCAGGACTAGTAGGCCTGAGTTATAGGGAGGGGTTGGCCAGGACAGGGCTTTATTCCTTGGAACATAGGAGAATGAGGGGTGACCTTATTGAGGTGTATAAAATCATGAGGGGCACAGATAGGTTGAACACATATAGTCTTTTTCCCAGCGATGGGGAATTGAAAACTAGACAGCATAGGTTTAAAGTGAGAGGAGAAAGATTTAAGGAGGACCTAAGCGGCGACTTCTTCATGCGGAGAGTGGTGCGTACATGGAATGGATTGCCAGAGAAAGTGGTTGAGGCAGGCATAATAGCAACATTTAAAAAAACATTTAGGTACATGGATGGGAAGGGTTTAGAGGGATATGGACCAAATGCGGGCAATTGGAACTACCTGATTGGGCACTATGGGTCAGCATGGACCACTTTAGGCCGAAGGGCCTGTTTCCATACTGTATTATTCTATGACTCTATGTGATACTCAGTACAAATATTAGTGTCTTCTGTGATTGAGATCAACTGGAATTCAACAGTATTGCGAGGATTGGCATTGGTGGAAATCATTAAGTTCAAATACGAAAAAAAAAACAGGCCAGGGTTCTGTTAGCACCATTTGGTAGCTGGGTAAGCAAGAGTGGTTGTGGTGGAGTTATATTGCTTGAGTCTGCCAAAGGAAGTCTCTAAATGTTACCTGCAGTGCAAAGAGTGCAATAAGACAAAATGGATTACTGACAGTTTGATGATAAAGAGAGTGTTTTTGAAGTTTAAAACATAATCTCTTTCTTACAGGTTAGGGCAGGACTCATCAAACTCTCTGCTGGAGGAAGATGAGATCAGCTAATTAAATACTTCACCTAAACCAGTTCTGTAGCTGCCAATAATTTCAATCATTTGGATCTCAGTGGTGTGAACATGAGAAGTTAACTGCACTTCACAAATGGCAACGGGACAGAGTGGATTATTGAGAATTTGGTGAGCTTCGAGGAGGGGAGGGAGGTGCTTTTCTTTCATTTTCCTCATTTTTATCTATCTTTGTCAGCCTCCGGGAGTCCAGGATTTGAAAAGCAATACAAGAAGGACAAGTTTTAAAAAATATTATAGAGTGACATCACAGAACTGCAATCTCATTAATCACTAATCTTCAGTTACAGCAAATAGTAAAAAGTAAGCTTGATGTATGGCAGATCAGCTCATCTATATGCAGTGTACAACTTGTGGCATTTAGAGAACAATGGATATTTTACGTGATTTAACTAAACACATGAAGTAAGTGTTATCAGCTGCAAAACTAGCTTGAGCTCTGGGTTTTGGAACTCAAGTGGCAGTTGGAGTCACTATAATGCATCTGTGAAGTTAAGAACCACAGATAGTCAATTCAAAAAGCTGGTCACACCACAGGTTAGAGGCATGCAGTTAAATAGGGAATGAGTGAACACCGGTTAGTTCAAGAGAACCAGACAAGTACAGCTGAATAATAATTTTTCCATTCTGGATACTGGTGAGAACTATGTATGGCTCCTCAGAGAAGTGCAGCAAGCACCAAGTTTGTCGTACCAATGGTGTGCCAGAGGTAAAGGAGGAAAATATGAAGAGTAGAAGAGCAATAGTTCATTAGTTATGGGAACAGGTAGGCATTTCTGTAGCTGGAAATGTGACTCCAGAAAGTTACGCTGCCTTCCTGGTCCCAGACTCAAGGATGTCGAACGGGAGGTGCAGGATATTCATCTGGGGAAAGTAATCAGCAGGAATTTGAGGTCCCACTGATACAGGCAGGAAAGAGATGCAGACTTGTAGTCTGAATTAAGAAGCTGGGTAAAAAAAGTTAGCAAACAGGACCTCGAAAGTAGTAATCTCTAGATTACTTCAAGCACTAGTGAGTACAGTAGTAGGAAGATAAGACAAATTAATAACAGGCTAGAAAGTTGTTGTGAGAGGGATGGCTTCAAATACCTTGGATACTAGATACTGGCAATGACAGACGTTTAAGAAAATAATTCACGGCTCATAACAAAGATCTATTCCAGTAGGAAAGAAGGATTCTAGGAAGGGGTTAAGCCAGTTATGACAAGCCATAAAACTTGAGGATAGCAACAAATTGAAAGATAAACATACTATATGGCCAAGATTAATGGTACAACAGTGGATTGGTAAAGATTTAAAATCTAACAAAAGACACCTCAAAAAAGGGGAAGAAAACTTTGAAGGTTAGGTTGCAATAATATCAAGATGGACAGAAAGAACTTCTTTAAATGTATAAAAAGAGGCCAAAGTGAACATAGGCCGTTTACAGAATAAGGCTGGGGAAACAATAATGAGGAAACCGGAATTAGCAGTTCAGTAAATACTATGCAGTCTTCACTAATAGGATTCTAAAATTATTAAATATTCAAAGGGCAAGGAAATAAACACAATAACTATTACAGTAGAAAAAGAATGAGAGGAACTAATGAGCTAAAGATTGATTAAGTCCTTGGACCTGATGGGATGCATCTTAGGATTTTAAATGAAGTAGCCACAGAGATAGTGGATGCACTGGTGGTAGTCTTCCAAGAATCCTTAGATTCTGGAAAAATGTCAAAGGACTGGAAAACCACCAATGTAATGTCTTTATTCAAAAAGGGAAGGAAACAAGAAACAGCTAACTGCAGACCAGTTAGCTTAACGTCTGTTAATGAGATAATATTAGAGTCTATGAAAAGGATTAATGACAGATCAATCAAAAATTCTTAATATAATAAGACAGAGTCAACATAGCTTCACGAAGGGGAAAATTAGTCAAGAGGAAAAAGGAAGCTAACTTAAGGTTGAGGAAGAAAGGATCGGACAGGGCTCTAGAAGTCTACAAGTTAGCCAGGAAGGAACTGAAGAATGGATTTAGGAGAGCTAGAAGGCGGTATGAGAACATCTTGGCGGGTAGGAACAAGGAAACCCTAAAGCATTCTATGCTTATGTGAGGAACGAGAGGCTGGCCAGAGTGAGGGTAGGGTCAATCAGGGATAGTGGAAGGAACTTGTGCATGGAGTCAGAGGAGGTAGGGGAGGTCCTTAATGAATACTTTGCTTCAGTATTCACCAGAGAGAGGGACTTTGACATTTGTGAGGACAGTATGAAACAGGCAGATATGCTCGAACAGGTTGATGCTAGGAAGGAGGACATGCTAGAAATTTTGAAAAACATGCGGATAGACAAGTCCCCTGGGCCAGACAGGATATGCCCAAGGTTTCTACGGAAAGCGAGGGAAGAGACTGCTGTCCCTTTGGCAATGATCTTTGGGCCCTCACTGTCCACTGGAGTAGTACCAGAAGATTGGAGGGTGGCAAATGTCATTTCCTTGTTCAAGAAAGGGAATAGGGATAATCCTGGAAATTACAGACCGGTCAGTCTTACTTCTGTGGTGGGCAAATTATTGGAGGGGATATTGAGAGATAATATTTATGATTATTTGGAAAAGCACAGTTTGATTAGAAATAGTCAGCATGGCTTTATGAGGGGCAGGTCATGCCTCACAAGCCTTACTGAATTCTTTGAGGATGTGACAAAACACATTGATGAAGGTAGAGCAGTGGATGTGGTGTATATGGATTTTAGCAAAGCATTTGATAAGGTTCCACATGGTAGGCTCATTCAGAAAGTAAGGAGGCATGGGATTCAGGGAAACTTGGCTGTCTGGATACAAAACTGGCTGTCCAATAGAAACCATACGGTGGTAGTAGATGGGAAGTTTTCAGCCTGGAGCTCAGTGACCAGTGGTGTTCTGCAGGGATCTGTTCTAGGACCTCTGCTCTTTGTGATCTTTATAAATGACTTGGATGATGAAGTGGAAGGGTGGGTTAGTAAGTCTGCTGATGACACAAAGGTTGGTGGAGTTGTGGATAGTGTGGAGGGCTGTTGTAGGTTGCAACGGGACATTGCCAGGATGCAGAGCTGGGCAAAGAAGTGGCAGATGGAATTCAACCCAGGAAAGTGTGAAGTGATTCATTTTGGAAGGTCGAATTTGAATGCAGAATACAGGGTTAATGACAGGATTCTCGGCAGTGTGGAGGAACAAAGGGATCTTGGGGTCCACGTCCATAGATCCCTCAAAGTTTCTACACAAGTTGATAGGGTTGTGAAGAAGGCGTATGGTGTGTTGGCTTTTATCAGCAGGGGAATTGAGTTTAAGAACCGTGAGGTTATGCTGCAGCTCTATAAAACTCTGGTTAGACCACACTTGGAATATTGTGTTCAGTTCCGGTCACCTCTTAGGAAAGATGTGGAAGCTTTAGAGAAGGTGTAGAGGACATTTACCAGGATGCTGCCTGGACTGGAAGGCAGGTCTTATGAGGAAAGGTTGAGGGAGCAAGGGCTTTTCTCATTGGAGCGAAGAAAGATGAGAGGTGACTTGATAGAGTTGTACAAGATGATGAGAAGCATAGATAGAGTGGATAGTCAGATTTTTTCCCAGGGCGGAAATGACTATTATGAGGGGGCATAATTTTAAGGTGATTGGAAGAAGGTATAGGGGAGATATCAGAGGTAGGCTCTTCACACAGAGAGTGGTGGGCATGTGGAATGCGCTGCCGGCAGTGGTAGTGGAGTCAGATAATTTGGAGACTTTTAAGTGACTCTTTGGATAGGCACATGGAGGATAGTAAAATGTAGGGTATGCAGGGTAAATTGATCTTAGCAGGATAATAGGTCATGGGCCGAAGGGCCTATACTGTGCTGTACTGTTCTATGTTTCTATTATGCCTGATAAATTTATTAGAATTCTCTGTGAAGGTAACACACACAATAGTCAAAGGGGGAGCATTACAAGTAGTATGTTTGGACTTCCAGAAGCCATTTTATGTTAGCCTACTAAGTAAGAGCCCATATTCACATGGTGAGAAGATTGGTTAACTGATACTAAACACAGAAATGAGATAAAGGTAGAAACCTTTAACTGGTGGCGTGCCTCATAGAACAGTGCTGGGAGCACAGTTATTTACAGTATATATTAATAACTTGGATGCTGAAAGTGAATGTACTGTAGCCAGGTTTGCAGATGACGAAAATATTTGGAAATGTGAGATGGCACAAGAAGTCTACAGAAGGGTATAGACAGTTTAAATGAATGGCCAAAAACTTGGCAAATGGAATACAATATGGGAAAATGTGAGGTTATACACATTGGCAAGAATAATAGAGGCAGCAAAGTTTGTAAGACTTGATGGTTCAACAGGAGTCGTCAGTACTTTGGATGAAAAAATCTAAAGAAGTTAGGCTGGCACGGTGGCTCAGTGGTTAGCTCTGCTGCCTCACAGCACCAGACACCCAGGTTTGATTCCACCCTCGGGCGACTATCGGTGCGGAGTTTGACCATTCCCCCCGTGTTTGCGAGGCTTTTCTCCAGGTGTTCTGGTTTCCTCACACAGTCCAAAGATGTGCAAGTTAGGTGTATTGGCCATGGGAAATGTAGGGTTAGATGGGGGTGGTGGGTCTGTGTGGGATCCTCTTCAGAGGGTTGGTGTGGACTTGATGGGCTGAATGGCCTGTTTAGAAGAATGAGAGGTAACCTGATTGAAACATAGAAAATTCTTCAGAGGCTTGACAGGGTAAATGTGGAGATTCCCATTGTGGGAGAGGCTAGGATCAGAGGGCATAATCTCAAGAGTAAGGAGTTGCCTAGCTAGGATAGACATGAGAAGGACAGTTAGGGTAGTCAGTCTATGGAATTCTTTACAATAAAGTGCTGTAGAAGCTGGGATGTGAAGTCTATATGAGCCTGAGATAAGAGCAATTTTTAGTCAGTAAGGAAATCAAGGGTTATGGGGTAAAAGCAGGGAAGTGGAGGTGAAGAGTATCAGATCAGCCATTATCCCAGTGAATGGCACAGCAGTATTGATGGCCTGAATGGCCTACTTTTGCTCGTGTCCGATGATTTTATGACTAGCTCCGGGGTAGATGGCACTTGTACAAGCCAGACAGGTTGCACATGGACAGAGCTGGGACTGAGTTTTTTATGGGCATTCTGCTAATACTGCTGGGTGAGCTTTAAACTAATGCCAAAGGGGTGTTGGAAAGGAGAGAATATTTGAGGCAATACCAGAGTGCAAAACATACCTGAGAGACACAGATAGTACAAAAATAGACAGTAGTAAATCAATAGGTGGAGTCATACTAAAGGAGAAATTTAAACATTTTAAATCAGGGCTACACTGCTCATTTGTAAATGCATGTAGTATAGTAATTAAGACTACTGAGTCAGGCACAGATTGCCATGTGGAATTATGATCTTGTGGCAATAATAGAAACTTGGCTGAAGGAAGGGAAGGACTGGATGTTAAATGTTCCATGGGTACATGTTCTTCAGGACAAGAAAGGAAGAAAATGGGTGGTTTGGTTGAGATTTGTCTATGTATCCAGAGTGTAGAGGTGTCGGCAGTTGGTGGTATTGATGGTATGTATCCACAGAGTGCACTATATGCTTTAGGATGCCCTCAGAACCTGATAAACAGCTACACAAGAGCAAATTATTGTGTTTCCCCTATTGGGCAACAAGAATGTGGGTTTCAGGAAAAATCATTTATTTCAGTCTTCAGACTTCCCATTTCATATATGCTGAATGAAATAGAAATGTGGCAAGTGTGTTAACTTAGATGCAAATTAAACACTTACCCGAATCAATGATACAGAACACAGCTGCAATCAACAGAAAGGAAAAAGAGAGCATTTGGAAAAGCATAAAAACAGCAGTGAGCTCCATGTGTTGCTTGTGAACTACAAATAAAAAACAAATAAATGTGAGATTGATTTCACAGAACATTAACAAGTTGATGAGCTTTAAGAATGTTTTCACCTTCAGAAGCTTGTGCAGGAATAGAGTACATAAAAAATCATTGATTACCTTTGTAAAACTTCAGGGCGAAGAAGATTATGAAACAGCATGCAACAAATGATGTCAATGTGCTAACCAAAGCCATAACAGATGTAACGAGGGATATGTTATGGATTAAAATCCATCCTGAAACAGAAAACTAATATTAATTTATTTGGATACAAATCATGGAACAATATGTCAGAGCCTAATGTAATATGAAGCCAAAAGTCAGTTCTAAGATACTTCATTTCACTTTGCTGTTTAAAATTTTTTCCTTGCCTTCTTATTTACATGTTTATTATCATATCACATACACCACATCATATTTCCTTCCAACTATTCAACACCATCCTCTTCCCCCCATCAATCTCATTCCATCCCTCATGGAATCAGTCTCTCCAGCAAGAGAAAGCTGTTGTTCACCTCTCCCCTTTTTCTGTTTTCTCTTTCCACCAATTCCCCCATAATAGTCGGTGGTCATGTATATGCCAAATGCTTCAATCCTCTATACACCACACATCTGTCAAATAAAGCCACCAAAAGACATATCCCTTAAGATGACCAATCAAAACTTCGAAGAGACTAAAGCAAAGTATTATTATTTTCCATTGTGTCTTCTGTGCACATGGGAAAATTCCACAATGTGCTGGTAGAAAAGAATATCCCAATCTGCTGATCTGGGTTTCTACTGAGTAAAAGGAAATATTCTGCAATGTATTGGTCTGCACACAGGGGAATATTCTATCACGGGAACATTCTGCAGTGGATTAGTCTGTGTACATGAGAATATTCTACAGTGTGTTGGTCTAGGTACAAGGGAATGTCTGTAGTATGTTGGCCTGGGGCATCTGCCAGATTTAACAGCCCTCAGCTGTCAAGACAGAATCGCTCTCACGGACTATTCTATGTCTTAGAGAAAGCACCATCTAAATAACAACAGTACCAATGGCACAACTAGTGAATATTCCTAACAGAAGAATCGACAGCGAAGGCATTCTTTACAGAACAATAGACAGGGAACATTCCGGAAGACACATAACCAGGCTGTAATTTCAAAAGACTAAATTTTTTTGTAGAAGTGGGGCTTCTTTTATTGGAACAACACATTATTAGAATCTTTTATTCGGGAATAGTCAGTAGTTAGAAGGGATTTATTTGGTTTGTTAATAGTTTAGTTAATTTGTTCCCTGTTATGGTTAGTTAAATAAATTGTTACTTTTGATTATAAAGTGAGTCTCGGGGATTCATTTTATTTAATCACTAGGAGTTAGTGAAAATCAGGTCACATCACATTTCACACTCCTTTTACAGATTATAGAGCAAGGTACTCCTCTTTGAGTGTTCGATTTTAGGTCTCAGACGGGTGTTGAGAAATTGGCTAAACAGATGAACTGGTCAGAAACTATATGGGTAATTTTAATTCAGACTAAGTCGGTAGGCAGGGTTAGTGAGGTGTTTGCAGTGCTGTCAGATGAGATGTTAAGAGATTTTGAAGATGTTAAACAGGCTATTTTGATTGCCAATGAATTGGTACCAGAAGAATACAGACAATGGTTCAGAAATGTAAGAAAGGAAGGAGTCAGACTTATATTGAGTTTGAAAGAATCAAACACAGAGCAACTTCAACAGATGGATGACAGCATTAAAAATAGAAAAGACATATGAGGATCTTAGACATATTATTCTGCTGGAAGAGTTTAAAAACTCACTTCCAGAAGTGATAGGAACTCACGTTGAGGAACAGAAAGTTAGAACAGCAAGAAGAACTCCAGAAATGGTGAACGAATATGCATTCGTGCATAAATCGAAATCTAGCTTCTGACAGCAATTTCATTTCATGAGGGATAGAAATTGGGAGAGAGGGAGATCCTTCAATGAAAAACAAAAAGTAGATCACACTGGAAACAGTTTACCACAAGTGAAAAAAGAAACCTTTGGAGGTGGAAAAGAGGTGAAAGGCCTCAGGTGTTTTCACTGCAATAAGGTGGGACACAGAAAGTCACAGTGCTAATGGTTTAAGAGAGACACTGAGAAAAAGGATATGGTAAAAGAGGCTAAACCAGTGGGATTAGTTGACGTAGTGAAGGCAATCCTGAGAGAGGTCTGGGAGCTGCAGGAGAGTGCATAGCCTAGTCATGGACTGAATAGTAAGATACTGCCCAATCTTTTCAAAGACTTGACCTGTGTGTGTAAGGTTTACTCAGGTAGAACAGGGGGAGAGTAGGTAAAGAAGTTAAAATATTGAGAGATATGGGAACTAGTCAGTACCTACTAGTAAGAGTTGAAAATATTTGCAATCCATCTGAAATATTGCCCAAGACAGTGGTAATCTGTGGAATAAATGGAGAGAGAATTAGTGTTCCTTGTGTAAGATAAGGCTAGAAAGCCCAAACAAGACTGGGGAAGTAATAGTGGGAGTGATGGAAGAATTGGCCATTCCAGGAATACAGTTTATTCTTGGAAACGAAATAGCTGGATCACAGGTGGGAGTGATGCCCATTGTAGTGGAACAGCCAAAAGAAAACCAGAGAACTGAGGAGTTAAAAGAAAATTAGCCTGGAACTTTTCCAGACTGTGTGGTGACAAGATCCCACAGCCATAAATTAAAACAAGAAGGAAAAACAAAAGAAAAAGATGGAGGAGTTGAGGTCCAGTTAGCTGACACTCTGTTTGATGAGTTGGTAAAGGAAAAACCTAAGCACATAGAGGATCAGGCAGATGTGTTTCGTTCTGAAAGATTAATGGAGTTACAACCAAAAGATGTGATGATAAATGATTTATATCATAAAGCCTACTCTAAAAAGGAATCAAAACATATTCCAGAATGTTATTGCCTTAAGGATAAAATCTTAAGGCAGAAATGGAGACCTTGGCAGGTTAGTGCAGATTAGAAATGGGTGGAAGTTCACTAGATTGTGTTGTCAGTATTGGTACTGTTACCACTGGTAGGAAATCCCTTCAAAGCAAGGTTTAGTGGTCCCTAGCAGATTGAGAAGAAGTTAAGTCAGGTGAATTATCTGGTAAAGATGCCAGATAAGAAAAAAAATTATTGGGTATGTCATGTTAACATGCTGAAACCTTACTATTGATAGGGAAAGGAAACTGGAGAAACAGGTATTAGTTCCTCAGAATGAGGAATTAAATCCAGATGATTTGGATTTTGATGTGCCTCAGAATAAATTGAACAATGAGGAAGTCCTTAAAGAATGGGATAGGGTAGGGAGCTTTCTGTCCCAGAAACAGAGAACTGAATTGAAAGACTTGTTGCAGTGCTATAAGGACATATGTAGAAACAGAATGAAGAGGACTAACACCGTAGAACCTAAGGTTGACGCAGGGAATGCTGTTCTGATAAAACAACACCCCTAACAGGCTTAATCCTCTCAAAGCAGCGCAGGTTCAGAAGAAAGTGGAAGCAATGCTCCAAGAAGACATCATAGAGCCAAGTCAAAGCGAGCGGAGTTCGCCAATCGTGTTGATTCCCAAACCTGATGGTACTCAATAATTCTGTGTAGATTACTGGAAGATCAATGCTGTGACCAAATGTGACTCATACCCAATTCCAAAGCTGGAGGACTCTGTGGAAAAAGTAGGACCAACTATTTACATCGCAAAATTGGACTTATTTCGTGGTTACTGGCAAGTACCTTTGTCAGAGAGAGCAAAAGAAATTTATGCTTTTGTAACTCTAAATGGGCTATATCAATTTAAAGTAATGCCCTTTGGAATGAAAAATGCACCAGCCACTTTTCAAAGGCTTAGGAACAGAGTTGTTGCAGGATTGACTAATTGTGCCATCTATATAGTGACTTAGTGACCATTGGCCATTCGTGGAAGGCTCATTTGGCAGAGCTCTTTGAGAGACTATGGAAGGCAAAGTTGGTCATAAACTTGGCAAAACCAGAATTTGTGATGCCATAAGTGACATTCTTAGGGCACAACATTGGATACAGACAGATGACACAGAGGAATGCAAAGACGAAGGCCATCGAGGAATTTCTAAGACCATCTTTGAAGAAGGAAATGCTACAATTTTTAGGATTGAACTGATTCTACAGCAAATTTGTACCAAACTTTAGTGTGGTGGCACCGTTGACAGATTTGTTAAAAAAGAACACAAAATTTCAATGGACAGAACAATGCCAGGAAGCATTTGAAAACAGTGTTAACCACCGCACCAGTTCTAGCCATGTCAATTTTTTTGAAACCCTTTAAAGTCGCTGTTGATGTGAGCGATGTAGGTGTAGGAGCTGTGTTGTTACAGGAGGATGATTGTGGAAGTGAAAGGCCAATCAGGTATTTTTCAAAAAATCTCAATATCCATGAGAAAAAATATTCAACCATTGAAAAAGAGTTACTGAGTTTGGTAATGCCCTTACAATATTTTAATGTTTACATTGCAAACAATCAGAGATGATTGTGTATTCCGAGCACAATTCTTTCACATTTCTGGAAAGATTTAAGGATAGGAACACCAGATTATTTTGTTGGAGTCTCATGATACAAGTACTTAATTTACAGACTGAATATGTTGCGGGTTGTGAAAATATTATCACAGATGCTTTATCATGGATTTAAAAGAATAAAATGTATATGAGATAGAAACAGTGGTGTTCAATGTTGTACATATACGTAGAATTAGTATAAAATTTGTAACTCCAGATTAATGAGCTACGGATCTAATAATATGTAGTTAAGGTTTTAAAAGAAAGGGAGGAAAAGGAAAGAAATGATGGTTCATTTTTTCCTTAAGGGGGGAAGATGTTGCAAAGTTGGGTAGAGTACTTGTGGATTAGGAGGCAGGAAGTTAGAATTTGGTGTCTGTGGGGGGGGGGGGGGGGGTGGGGGGGGGGGGGGGGGGGGGGGGGGAGCATTGCGTGGTCCCCTTAAAAGATGATGTGCTTTTTCTACGCTTAGAGATTTTTTTAAAAAGTCTGCGAGTTTGCAAGTACACAGATAGCACCCGAATTGAAATATTTGTGTCAAAAGACCACACAGTTAGCAGGCAAAGCAGCAGTTTTTACCAAGACAACAAGTTTTGAATTTAGCCAATCAATTGAACCAGACACTTAGATACCAAAAACGAATTAAATTTAAATCTGATGTTTTTGACAACATAGGACCAATCCTATTGTAAGAAACTG